GATTTTGGACATGCACATGCTCCTCACCTGATTCCGAGTGGCTGAGTATTCAGGGTTAACAGGCAGGAAGGGAACAGCGCTGCGCTCCGTCACCAGGGTGCTGTGGTTTTGGGTAGCCAGCCACACTGGGGGAGGGACAGAGAGCAGATTGCTCGTGGAGGCTGGTGAGGGTGAGGGTGGGGAGGCGCAGAGCACAGGCCTCCCGCTTCCCTCCACACGGGCCCACCGAGTGCTGGTGGGCAGACGGGTGGTCTTTAGGCAGGCGACGCTCAGCTGGGCGAGGCCAGCCCTGCTGGTCCAGCCCCAGAGTCTGGGCTGGAATCTGGCTGTGGCCAGGAAGGAGTGATGCAGGGGGGCGGAGCAGCACTGGGGAGATAGCCAAGGTGGGAAGCAGCCAGCACACAAGAGCCCTAGTCGCCAGAGTGGTGGGGGAGGGAGGGCCAGGCTGGCTGCCTGGAGCTCGGCACACACTGCCTGGCTGGGAAGCTGCCCAGGCCCTCACAGCTGGCAGGGGCTCATTGCAGGCCTCTGGGCAGCCCCGACCCCAGGACCCAGCCCTCCCCTAACAGGGTAGACACTCTGTCCTCTGCCCATGGTCTGAGGTCTGTCCATGCCCAACTCACCCGCGTCATTTTCTCTCCGATCCACCTCGTCATACACGTCCATGGCAAGTTCCTCAAAAAGCCGGTTGCTGAGCTGGAGGCAGAGAAGGGGACCCAGGTCTTGTCAGGTCAACTGGTCCCCAGTACCTATGAGGCCAGCTCACCAGGACACTGTGAGACAGGGGAATGGCTTGTGTCCCTCCTGCCACCTGACCCCTAGAGTTTCAGGACAGGAAGATGGGCAGGGGTCTGTGTGCCACGCTCCAAGGTGGGTGGGTGGGTGGTGGGGGGAGCCAGACCAGTTTGTTCCTTTGTAGGTGAAAAGTGAAGATAAGGCCCTGGCAGTGCAGAGCCAGGGTCAAGGACAAGGGCACGGGAAGGTGAGGAGAGGAGAGTGGCGAGGCCAGTGTGGGGCAGCACCGAGTCCTGGGGGCCTGAGCAGACTCACCGCCTGCAGCTTCTTCTTGGCAGCTTTGGCCAACTCAGAGAGATCCAGGCTGTGAGTAGACAGGAGAGGGGAGGGGAGGGGAGAGGCGCCGTGAGCGCTGGCTCCCGCCAGTGACCTCCCAAACATGCAGGGGCCCAGGGAGACAACACCCCAGATGCCGCACACCAGCGCCCCCCGCCGCCCCGGCCCAGCGCCGGCTGCCCTGGCAGGCACGGCATACCTCTGAGACATGCACTTTTGCCGAGATCTAAGTCCAGAGGAAGGCAGCAGAGGGGAGAACAGGACAGAGGCGATTACCAGGAGCGGGGCAGCAGGCGTGTCTCACATCACGTTCAGACTTCTCCACACGCACACCCGACTGAAACTGAACTCTCACCCGAGCTGCTGCTCCTCTGGCCAGTTCTACCTCAATGACCAATGTCAGCTACCTGAGAGTCACCAGAAACCTCCCTCCCAAGGCCTAGACAGCACCCCCCACCCCGGTTCAGCCATCATTTCTCACCTGGGCTCTCACAAGAGTTGCTTGATCCATCCCTCAGCTTCTAGTCTTGCCGTTAGTCTTTTTCCTCCCAGCAGCCCGGGTGACCTGCCCCTACCACCTCTCACCTTAAAGCTTTTCAATAGTGACCGATGTCAGTGGCACGTTTGACTGTGCTTCAACAAACACGCTAAACGCTTTGCATACATCCTCTTCTTTAATCTCAACATCCCTGGAAAATAACTAGCACCCTTATTTCCAGAGAAGGTGGCCAAGGCTCAGAGTTAAGGAGCCTGCCTCAAGTCACACAGCCAGCACTGGCAGGGGTAACTCCACACATCTGTGCCCTCTCTGCCCCGGATGGCTGCAGCTCTCATTGAAGCTCCCAAGCTGGTCAGCCCTTGCCCATGTCTATGCAGTCTTGCTCCCGGGATTCCTTGTCTCTCACATCGAGCTCCAGCGCCGTGAGCTGCCTGCCCTCCTGGCAAAGCCTCTCTAGCCTCTCGCTGTGCTCCCCACAATGGACAACTATCTCCTGACGAGGCTGCCTCCATGTCTAGACCATGAGCCCGTCAAGGGGCAGGGATCCTGTTTTGAGTTGCCCGTGTCCCTAGTGCCAAGAGCAGCAGCTGGTTCTATGAAGGTGCTCATTGAATGTATGCCCACACGTGGGTGTGTTTACTATACACACACACACACACACACACACACACACACACACACACGCACGCACACACACCACACAGAATCAGCT